ACAGTAATTGTATATTTCCAATTAAAAAATATGCGTAACGTTGATAGAAGATCACTAATTTGTTTTAATCTCTGATTTGATGGTAATTTTTAACAGATCAACTATCTGTAAATTTATGAAAATAAAAGAGTCGAAATTTCTGAGTTTTTTTAAAGAATTCGAAATTTATACGATAGTAAACGATTAAAAATGAAAAAAAAAACGGTTAAAAATGAAAAAAAAACGGTTAAAAATGAAAAAAAAACGGTTAAAAATGAAAAAAAAAACGGTTAAAAATGAAAAAAACGATTAAACGGTTAAAAATGAAAAAAAAAAAATTAATCTGTCATCTTGTTTGTAACCATTACCATTAATCATTAATTTTCATTCAAATACTACCGTACAACAATGATACACACCGCATCATTTGTATACCGTTGTACAAAAAGATTCGGGCTACTCTAATGATCATCCTCCTATTCACATCATTTTTTTTATTGAGTTCAAAATCAAGAATCGTTTAAATCTATCGTTTATCATGGATGGTATTTCGAGTAAATAAATTTCGATAGCAATATAGCAATTCACTTACAATTCAACTCATTGATATTCTCTCTCAAACCTAAAATCACTAAAGTATTATAAGTTCCTTATTGATTGTGTGAACGAATGAAATGGCTTCTTTTTTTTTTAACTTTATTTCATAATTAATCTCAAAAAGGAAAAAAAAAATTATTAGAAAAAAATAAATAACATTACATGGAATAAACATAAAATGAAAATGATTTACAATTTTGGAGATGAAAGTTTGAATAAATTATTCATTACTTAGGATAGCATAATACTTAGCTTTGAATTTATTTTTTTATAATCAATCATTTTTTTCCTAAATTTACACAAAAAATTTTTATATAATATATTTAAATCGATTTTTCCAACAAATAAAGTATCAGTTAAAATGAATATTATTATCAAATTGAAAGTAGGACGAGGAATTATTGGAAACATGAGAAAAATTATAAGACAATCAAAATATGTGCATCACAAATTTATGCCATTAATATTGTCTTATTTAGATTTTTCTTTTCACAGGTGATTCATTACACAAAAATTAAAATTAAAAATTTCCATTATCTTAGGTGATTCATCCAATTCCCATAACACTATAGTAAATGATTGCTACTTTGATAACTAAGCTATTTGTAATCTTTGATTTTTAGTTTACAATTGATCGAACAATTCAACTTATACACATTGATGGGCACATTGTAATCTTGATAATCGTGCTTATATTTAATGGTTGACATGTCTAGACTTCTTTAAACTCATCATTAATATTCTTTTATTTGAAAATTCTTTTGCCTGAGAATTAATTCTTTTTTTTTTTTTTTTTGTTAATGTATTAGAATTCTAAACATATTCACCACATAAGCTCTAGAAATGTGACAGAGACTTCACTTTTGACCATCAACATCTATTCAATCATCATCTTTCTTTCCTCACCATTAGTTTCACAGAAACTATCATCTTCCAATAAACTATATTATTTCATAAATTTATTCCTTTTGCCTTACCTAATCATTGCCATTCATTCTTTTATATTTCAAAGTTTTCATTGATTTCATTTACTCTTACTGTATTATCAACAAACTTCGCTACTCATATTATTTTACATCATATTTCACATAAAAAGTTAATGTAAGCCAATTTTTGTCAATTTTAACTCACATACTACTACTAACAAAACCTTTTATGAAGTAGGAATTATGAAATGAGAAAAGCGTATGAAACAGTCAGATATCTTTTGACGAAAATATTGCTAACAATATTTTTCAAGTATACATTACTAACAATATCTTTAGACATAGACATTACTTGGTGACCTAGTTGTTTTTTTTTTTTTTATTGTGTCGCAGAAATTACAGGAGGAGGACGAATCAATAATTCCTTTGTTTCAAATTCGATATTACTGAGTATAACATATTGTATATATGGACATACTGTAAACTAAAAATTGTACATTCATTATGTTTATGTCCTCTAATAAAGAGGACCATTCCAGATGCGCTAGCAAAGATTCTAAATTCTTGTAATTTCAGAACTGTATCAGGATCCTCTCTATTCGTGAAAATGGAATGTCATGAGTCACCAAAAGCATTTTATAAAGATATATTTCAACAAGGTTGATTTGAATAGACAATATTAATAACCTATTTATCAAACCAAAAACACAGACATAACGTTCAACCTTTGTCACGATTAAAGAAAATCGTCAACACTATGCTTTGTTGATAGCGATGCATTCAGTTCAATTAACATCCATTTTCTTAAATCCAATATATTATAATGGAAGGAAAAAAAAAGAAAAACCAGAAAGTGTCACACCTAAATCACCATAAATTTATGGAATACAATAATGAGTTATTTCTGTGAACATCGGCCAGCCACGAAAAAGCTCGACATTTGCGCCGATGTTTGTTGTTGTGACAGTGCTACATTTGAGAACATCACGCATTGTCTGGGAGTAACTGTTTCAATTTAATGCCAAATATTATTATATATTAATATGTGAGACTATAAAAATATGCGTATAATCGAAAAAGTTTATTTATAAGGAAATGGTATAATTACATCATAATCTTACTTTTTTTTCGGATAAGAATGAGACTTTCAGTTTGGATATGAGATTCTGTATCCAAAAGAATAAGATTTTTAGATTGAGTACGAAATTCAGTATTCAATTTTCAATTATTATTTCCTATCTATACTTGATTTGGTCTATGTTGAGGTTTTTTAGTAGTTTTCCAGTACATTCATCATTTTGCTGTTTTATTTCAACTTTTATGATTTAATACGAAAATAGTATTTAAGGAGTAACGCATGTCAAACAAGGAATGTACGGAGGCGAAATTAAACGATCTGAATTCATCGAATATTTGCTACAGTGTCACAACAAGCGATCTAAACAGTGAACGCAAATTGATCGGTACAACAGGCACATCTTTATTGATCGCAACCGATGGATCACAGGTTAATTAATGATTGTTGCGTTAAATACAGAAATGGAAGCTTAGTTGTTCATATCATTTTGCATAGCGCTTTCTAGATCATCCGTTTCTAAGTCATATTTTGAGCTATATATTGTTTGCTTACCTTCGGATAGTTTTTAATAATTTGATTCTTAGCAAGATGAGCGAAGTGACACACCGGAAACGGATGCACAATCGGTTCTGGAACGAAGTGAGCATTCCTCAATGCAAAATGATCAAAACAAAGAGAAGGAAAGTAATGAATACGATTCGAATGCGGCCCATCCATCACTGACAGAATTTTTTCAGAATTCTCGAGTTGATGCATTTGGTTTCATACAAAGTCTCAATAATACGTTCGTTTTTCTTAACTTTTTCAAGTGTTGCATTATATTTTTATTGGTGGATTTAATGCAATGATGCCCTCCCAGTTAGTTAAATCCTTAACAAACAGTTTAATTTATCAAAGTTGTTGACTGGGATCGTAGAGTGATTGCCGACCAGATAGTTCTATTAATTTGCAAATCGGTAGCTATCAAACTATATCAGAAGCTTAAATATTCTCATAATAGGAGTTTTATGAATAGCTGAAACTGCATCTGAAGTGCCGTGATGGGGTTGCAGATAAAACTGATAAGTGAAAGATGAGTAATATTTGTAAAGCCAAGATCACTGAATTGAATAAGCAGGTTATTGATTTATACAGCAAAAAGGCTTCGATTTTTGGACCATTCATACGTTATTTTATTTGAAATAAATGAAAAAGAAGAGCTATAATAGAAACGTTGTTGACTTTGAACAAATTTTGAGGATAAAAATTGTAATTAGGCTGTCATGAATATTTTGCACTTGTTGCAGAAATCATGAAGCTACAGTGAACTTGGAGACGCTACGGAAGCGTGAAAAAAAGTGGTTGCATATGCTCACAAACTGGTCTTATTTCATGGATAACAAGTATGAAAAAGTAAAGGAACGTTGCCGCAAAGGTATACCACCGTCATTACGTGGTCGAGCATGGAAACACTTATGTGGTGCCGCTTTCCATATGGAATTTAGCGTAAATAAGCACGTTTTTGAGGTTAACAATCAATCTGTTTTACTTCTGTATAATTAATGCAGTATTGTTAGCTGAAAAATCCAAAACCTAAATCTTTGTCAGAAAATTCGTTCTATTTTTTTTTTGAAACGTTTACGTTTGTAAATAATGAGAGAGTTTCATACTTTTAGGAAGTAGTCAATCAACCGGGTGACCCTCGATGGGTTGAGGATATTAAAAAAGATTTAAATCGACAGTTTCCAGAACATGTCATGTTTTCTCGTGCTGGACCCTATGGGAAAGGAGGGTGTGTTTTGCTATGGTAAAAATAGGCTTGTTGTATCAACGTTGATCAGCGTTATATCAACGTTTGCATCATTAAACTACCTTTTACTATTCATTAAACTACCTTTCATTAAACTACCTTTAAACTACCCATTATCAAACTACCTTTACTACTATTTATTGAAATTCTTGGAAGCTCTTATTTACTGTATTAGTTTTTTGCTATGGTTATATGTTTTATTCTCATAGAATTGGTGTCTTAGATTTCCTTATGCACTGCATTAGTTTTATATCAGTGTGTTGCAGAAAATCAGATCTGTTCGAATTGCTTAAAGCATACACGGTACTGCATCCTGAAGAAGGTTACTGTCAAGGACAGGCTCCTGTTGCTGCTGTTTTGCTCATGCATATGCCATTGCGTGATGCTTTTTACTGTTTTGTGCAAATTTGTCACAAATATTTGCCAGGTTACTACAGTGCCGGACTTGTACGTTTTTGGAATTTCTCTTAAAAGTTAGATATACTCGTCAATTGTTCGTTTTCTTTTTTTTTTTTTTTNTTTTTTT